CTCTACAACTTCAATTAGAAGCCCAAAGGTGGTTAACTTAGTACGAAAAAAAGTTTTAGAATAATGCAGCCCACATTTGCAAAACTTTAATTTTATAAGTAAACTACATTATGTTATACTATAACCTCTTACTAGCTAACTAACGAATTATCAATTAAAGTTAATAGATTGAGTTGGATATAATTTGGTAAATTGTGGTAGAAAAAAATATTGCTAGTGTGTAATAAGAACAAGACTAGTTAGAATGATCTATCTTTTTGCTTTATCTACTATTATTTGATCCTCAATAGTAGTTATAAGCCATAGCTTTGATTTTAGAGAAAAGTGACCAGTAGAAAAGCTATAGTAATTAATATTAGAAAATTTATATTGTTTATAAAATATTCTGTTACTATTGTAATCTAATACTAGATTTTCAAGAGTTGTAAACCAAAGAGGTTTTCTTCTTCTAAGAATTTTATAAAGTTTTAGTATAATATGCTTTTAGCTAAGAAGATAAGAATTATCATATGTAGAGAGTTGATCTAAATAGAATATGAAGTTTGCAAAGTTGTTTCTTAAAAGATATATAGTTAGAATATAATGAGAGTATCAATTCAAGAAATATAGAACCTTCTGAAGGAGTATATAGTATTTCATAAATTGGATTGTAGATAATTGATATACTGAGATAATTAAAAAGCTTAAGAATTTTAAAGTTAGTTAAATTTTTATTAAGACTATCAATAATAGGATTAGAATATATTAAAATAAACCCGTAAAGTAACAATGGCCTTACAGTTTATAATTAATATTAATACCTTAATAAACTATATATATTTCACTTCAAGTAAATACAAAATACTAAAAACAATATAAAAAAATATTAATTTAAGATTGATTACTTCTTGAAGAAGTTCGTAATTATATTTCTTTAAGATTGATTACTCTCACAAAAAATATCAATCTTTAATTTTAAATAAAAGTGATTTATTTGAATATAAAAAGATAATATCAAACCATATAAAAAAATATCAATTCCTTGTTTAGATTTTTCTAAATAACTGAAAAGTTGATATGAACAACACAATATTTATTTATTTTTTTTTAAAAAAAAATACAAATAACAAAAAAAATACAAAAAAAAATAAAAATAAAATAAAAAAAAAACAAAAAAAATTATTTCATAGATTCTTCATTTTTTTATTTCTCTTCTTAATTCTTCTTTTTTTTTTTTTAATTTATTTTCAAGCTTTTGTTGTTTTCTAAAATAAATTTTATTTATTATTTTTTTTATTTTTTTTATTATTTTTTTTACATACTTTTTAATTTGAATAAATTGTTTTTCAACTTCATATAATTTATCTTCAATTTCTTCGATACTTCGAGTTGTTTGTTGAGTTGGTTATTTAGTAGTAAAAGTAGTAGAAGCAGACATTTTTATTTTAATTTTTTTTTCATTAATTTTTTTTTTTTATATTAAATTATTTGATTATATTTTTAATCAATATAAAAAAGTTTAAGAAATATATGATATTAAATTTTTATGATATTATAAAAATTTAATATTATACGTTTTATATATAAAAAATAAATAAAAAATAAAAAAAATAAAAAATAAAAAAATTTTTTTAAAATTTTTTTTGAAATGTCAGTAATTTAATCACATGATAAATTATTAAAAAATACAAATACTATAAGAAATTAGAATTATAAAAAAAAATAATATAATAAAAAATATATTGGAAAAATAAATTTGAAAGCTTTGAAGCAGTAGCAACAAGTATATCCAAAAAAAAACTTAATGAATATAGACAGTAAAGATTAATAATAAACTTTATTATGAAATAAAAATATAAAAAGAAGGAATCACTTTTCTTTGTAATATTAAATATTTTAATTTATAAAAAACTATACTTAGTACTTTTATAAAAAAAAAATACTTTTTATGTTAAAACTCATAAACAAAATAAAATAGTTCAATTTCATCGAATGATATATCTTAAATAGAAAATAATTGATCATATTAATAGAAAAAGATGTGATAATTAAGAATTAAACTTGTGAGAAACAATACCAAGAGAAAATTAATTATATCATAAATTATTAAAAAATAATACTTCTGAATATAATAGAATTTATTTTGATAAATATAATAATAGATAGAAATTTTGTTGGTTGAAAATAATAAACATAGGGGAAAAGTTTTAGAATTACTAAAAATAAAACTAGTGAACAAGTGAAACAACTTTATATTAATTTTAAATTAATACATAATAAAAAACTAAAAATATAAATAGAAAAGAAATTAAATATTAGTTTATTTATTAATAATTTTTATAAAAATAAAAAAACTAATACACTTATAATAAAAATTAATAAAAAAAACTATAGTGGTATATACTAGCACTCATAGACACCAAAGCATCTGGGTCTGATAGCCTCACTGAGAACTTGAATATATGACCTGCAGTATCATATACCCTATTCACATTTACTATAGATACTGGTACATCTAATTTTTTTTTTGGTACCCTTTTTGAAAATCAATTTCTTTATTATAAATCATCAATTTTTTTATTTTTTTTTTTTAAAAAAAATTTTTTTTTAAAAAAAATGTCTCACAATTATAATAGTCATTATAAACGTAATATTAAATGCCAAAATTCAAAACAACAATCAAAAGAATTTGAAATTATTATAATTTCAGATAATGAAAAAATAACTGAATATCTATATGAAATTTTAAGTATTAGTTTTACAAAAGAAGAAAGGTTTCGAAATAAAAATAGAAAATTATCACAAGAATTAGAAACTTTACAAAAAAATAGAAAAAGCAGAACAAGAACAAAAAATAGAAGAAGAGAAATATTTAATAGAGGAAAGAGAAAAATTAGCAAAAAAAATAAATAAATTAAGAATATTTTGTAGTAATAAAAGATATAATATTAATTAATTTTTTTTATTTATGTATTATTTTATTATTTTATTGTATTTTAAAATAAATTTTACAAAAAGTAGCAATTTAGTTCTTTCAGTAATGTTGATCAAATTAATATTTCATATTATAAAATTTAAAATACTTTTATATTAAGAGGCGTGCCATTTATCACATGATTTTTACCATGGATACATGGGTCAGGCAGGTGATCATATACATATATATATATATAATATAGTATATAATCAAATATAATGAAATATATAATATATAAATTATATATA